CTTACAGTCACACAGCTACTAAATGTCAGAGTGAGGACTTGGAACTCAGGTCTTATACTAACACTAACTCAGTATTCTTTCACTATATCACATATGAAAGCATAAAGATGTAACTTTTCAAATGGAGATGTGGTGATATAAAAAATTAACAAATTAATAACTTCTGATCTCCCTTCCAACTCAAATAGTTTGTTATTCTAATGTTCCTTAATTTTATTTCAATCTTAGCATATAGTAAGCACCTAACAAATTTTTTTTCATTCATTCCTATCCCTGCCCTGAGGTTCCCTAATACCACTGCCAGCAGAGGGAAATGTATCCCTGGTATCCAAAGTTGAAACCAGAATGCATTTTCCCAGAGAAATAGCATTTGAGTAAGTTGAAATAGCACTATTAATACTCTCTATACTTTGAATACTTGATGGAGTAAATGGGTTTTTGTAGACTGATGTGGGGACCTAAACCAAAGCATTATCTGAATAAACAAATTCATTCCAGGTTCCAAATAGCCTACTTTACAAACTACTACATAGAAATAAATTTCCAGGAAATTATGCTCTGAGTAACTTTAAATAGATTGTCACCTTGATTTACCCTATATTTGTTCCATCCATAAAATGCCCTCTTGCCCTTCTGTAAGGTAAATGCCTTCTGGAATCTTCCCCATTCCATATAGATTCTCTTCTAGTCTTTTATTCTCTTTTCGTGATATTCCCATCCCCCCACCCCCACTTGTTAAGGCACCATGTATATTTAGGAATATGCTCGAGTCAGTTTTGGCTTCCATTAGAGACAGGATTTTCTTCGTTCTTTTCACTTTCACAATTACTAGTAGAGATGATCTTTTTGTACCCTAGCTCATGATTTTGAAAGCTATACACCTTTCTCTTCCCCTTTAATGTACAGTGCAAAGAGCATTGACATTGGAGTCATGGGACCTGGGTTTTGATCCCAGCTCTACAACTTATTATATAACCTTGGGCCTCAGTTTCCTCATCCATGGAATAAAAGGATTGGACTAGATGACATCTAAAGTTGTCTCCAGCCTTAGACCTATAACTATGATCTTATGGACCCTCTTGGATTTTATTGGGGGAGGGGGAACCCAAGTCCTTGTCTTAAACCAACCATTTCTGCCTAATATTTAATGTTCATTTGCTGTCCCTGGAGAGTCATGACAGAGAGGTGGCTAAGGGAAGTACAGAGAAGTGTAAAGTGGATAAACTGGTCTCCTGCCCTCTTCTGCTTTGTCAGAGCTGCCACGGTGCTCATCGTGGGCTTATATGGCTCTAGATAATCCTTCAGGCAGGCTTATTTACTGTGATCAGTTTTCCTAAACCCTGGAGAACAGAGATACTTCCCCAACAATCTCTGCTGCAAATAGCAGGTCCTTGAAATGCCTCTTTCAGGATGCCTTTCCAGATTAGGCTCGTCCAACTTTGGTCACCCAGGTCATCCCAACTTTTCCAAACACTTTTAATTAGCAGTAATTCTTTCTGTCCTTGTTTGTCTGTATGTATATCATACATGTGCTTTTGTCCCTAAAAGACTCCAGGGCATCTTTGCATAGCCTGTTAGACCAGGAACTTCCAAGAGGCAGCTACTACACTTGGAGATAAAACCCCGGGGTTCAGGTCCCAGCTCTGTGGACTGGTTACATGGATTGAAGGCAAGTCAACTTCCTGTTCAGAAATAAAGGTCTTGTCATACCAGTCAGTGGCCCTTTCCCAGCGATAGCCTTGTGTCATTCATTCTCTGTGCATTAAAGTGTGTGATTGAGAGCAGAAACCTTGTTGTCCCAATTATAGTGAGAAGTTCCCGAGGTACCTTGTCTCTGTGAGACTGGAATCTCTACAGTGTTCAACCCCAGCCCTCCCCTGGAGTGGACACCTTGCTTTTCAGCAGCCTGGCTTCTTCCTCTCCCACATTGGCTCTGGTGTCCATTTCACCTGTTACACCCTCTGTGTTGATGTCCAGGGAGCATTCCTGTCACTTGGCCCTGTTTGGGAAGACGCATTGTTTTGGTGCTGTCAGGAATTCAGGAAACCCCTGAGGGTTTGTTTCCATCTGTGCCAGCCTTGGCTGGGTGCCAGTGTCTGTAGATTGGTGATGAATTTTTGATACCCTAAAGATTTCTGCCCTACTGGTAGGTGGAATTTAATAATGAGCCCTTAGAAACTGGGCAATTCACTTGGCTTCCCGATTTCCCCGTGTTAGGAATATTTTGTCCTCGGTGAGGGTGAAACTCCTTGGATGACCTTGTTGCTATTGAACTATCATGTTCTCAGAGAAGGTGAATTAAGGTGGGGATGAGAGCTATTAATAGCTTTTTTGCTTTTGTAATAAGCTTTATAGTTTATACATTTTTTCCATATCCATTATCTCAGTTTAACCCTACAATGTAGGCAGAGCAGGGCTTGTCTTTGTGTGGTGAGAGAAAAAACGCAAAGAAGTCTCATAACCTGAAGACAGGACAGGCAGGAGTCAATTCAACTCAGCTGAGCCTCATTAAGCACCTCCTCTGCCCTAGGTGATGGGTATGAAGACAAAAGAGATACCTCTATTCCACTGGGGCCAAACCACATGTATGCAGATAAAGAAACACAATATATATACAGAACAATTTGTCTAAGAGATTACTAATAATTGGTGGGATCAAGAAAGCTTTCTGTGTTGGGAAGGAAGTGGACATGTCACAGAGGAAAAGGAGGCAGTGGTCTTTAAATCAAAGTCAGATGTTCAGAAAGGACCAAGAAAGAAGTTTTGTGAGTGAGGGTGTGTGTGTGTGTGTGAGTGTGCGCGCGCGCGTGTGTATTTTGTTTTTAGTGGGTTAATCTTGGTATATGGGGGTTTTTTGTTTTGTTTTGTTTTTTAATGAGCTATAATGAATTACTTCTTAGAAATGTATGGTCTGAGATAGCACCATGCATAGAGTGATGGGCCTAGAGTCAGGAGGTTCTTGTGGGTTGTTTCCATTGGGTCCTACTTTGTGACCCTGTTTGGGGTTTTCCTGGCAAAGATACTGGAGTGGTTTGCCATTTCCTTCATGAGGAAACTGAGGCAAACAGGGTTAAGTGACTTGACCAGGATCACATAGCTAGTAATCACAGAGCTAGGCCATATTTTAGCTCATGAAGATGAATCTTCCTGACTCTTGGTCCGGCATGCTATCCACTTCACCAAGTTGCTGAGTTCAAATTCAGCCTCATATACTTACTAACTGTGTTACCTTGGGTGAATCACTTAACCTCTGTTGAGAGAGAGAAAGAGGGAAAGGGAGATAGAGAGGGAGGGAGGAAGAGAGAGAGAAAGAAAGAAATGAATGTAGGGCCCTCCCCATCATGTCAAGGAAATATCAAATCTTACAGGGTAGCAAACTTTGTCCTAAGCATGTGAATTACTTTCTGAACTTCCATATCACCAGCTTTCCCTGTTGTCGGTATAGCAAGCAACCTATGTGCTTCACAGCTCTGACTGCTTATGACCCCTTATTTCAGCTCTACCAACTAAACAACAATAAAGTACTCATTATCAGAATAAAAGCAGTTCACAGATCATTACCACATAGCGGTGTAAAAAACACATTTAATGTTCATTAATGATTTTTGACCACCTCAGATACAGTAAAAAGGCGAAGTAAGTACAATATCTTTGGAATTGGTAAGATACTCCTTTTCACACACAACAGATTCCATACCACTCTGTAGACATTTGAGGTGTGAATATATATTTTCTTGCCAAAAACCAAAGTTCTGAGTTTATAAAGATGGTGTTTTGGGCTTTTCAGTAGTTCTATCTCTTTGTCTCTTGCCCCTGTCCATGAGAACATCAGAATTTAGATCATGTTTGGGTCTCTACAAAAAAAGGAAAAGGGCCCACAGGCCCTGTGGAAGCATTCAGACTAACAAAATGTTAAAAGTAGGACAGGCTTTATTTACCCTAACCAAAAAATACAAAGGACTTACACTAGAGTAAACATAAACATTTAGGAAAACTTTTCCTCTCCAGTGGATATCACCACCCCTGGGATCTGTACAGCCTTTTAGATTTAGATTATGTGTTCCCCTGGGTTGAGATCTCCCTGTAAGGGAAAAGAATTTGGATCACTAGTGAGTCAGCTTCCCTCCTTGAGCCTGCACAGGCCATATACCTCACAGTAACAGCAAAGGGCAAGGTTGGGGTTTTGCTTGTTCCTTATGACTCTGTGCTTACTGCTTCCTAATTCCCACTTGGTCCAGAAACTCAATGTCTGGATCCAGGAGGCATGGTCCAGGAGCTCCTCTGTTGCACGTGGCTACCTGGAAGGGACCACGTCTATATGCAGGCTTCCCTCCAAGGACCAAAGCCTGTGTCCAGCCACCTTCTCTTTCTATAGCATCCCAGCTCTTCTGCTCAGTGCTTCTTTGTCTTTGCTCTCTTTTTTAAAGGCCGACTCCAAAGTGCATAGGTATAAGACCTAGCCATCATATGCTTGATTGATTATCCACCATGGGATGTCAATGGAGCAACCAAGGACTAGGCGGAGAATTAGCCTCATAGGAGATATCACCACTGCTTGAGCAATGTCCTTATTAGTGGGCTATGAAAACATTTACACCATATGTAGAGAGTCATCACACATTCTGCCACAATATCAGAACAAAAGACTATATCCATAGGGCAACAAGGTACAAGACAGTGTCAGTTCATAGCCACTATATTTTTATTTTGGGGCTGTATGAATTCTCTTCCCCAAACCTTTCAAGTCTGTAATGTCACAGACTTCTTCCTGTATCATTCAGTGCCATAGGAACAGAAGAGTTCTTTCACTCAATCAATCCCTGAGTCTTGGGATTTGGACTAGACAAGTTTTATTTTTTAGTGTTGGTGCCCCCTTCTTTCTTCCTTTGCCACCATTTCCAGGAACAGGAAGGTTGGGCTTTATGTCTCAGGCAGCCATGGGAACAGGGGAGGTTTGAGCCAAGGACTCAGGACCTGTCCCACCTCCGTTTTTTATACAGGGTGCGGACATTGTAAGAAGATGAAGCCTGAGTTTGAGAGCGCAGCTGAGGTCCTCCATGGAGCAGCTGATGTAAGTGCCTTTTTTCTCTCCCCCCTTTTTGTCCCCCTAACCCTTTTGTCTAAGAAATCAGCAATGAGTGGAATCACAAAAGCAACTTCTCTCAATAGATTATTTAGTTGTTTTCCTATTCCCTTGATCTCTTTAGTGCTTGTCATCCGGAGTGCATTGTTGTTAGCCATGTGTGGTCTCTTGGGAAAGTAAAGAACAAACATTATGTCTGAACTGGAAACATAGTGACCAAATGTTCCCTTATTCCTCTGGGTACCCTTGGTCCTGGAATTTAAATCCCAAGGCGCCTTCCTTTTGTCCGCTAGGGCCTTCAAGCTTGGGGACAGGTTCCATCTTCTTTTAGTAGAGTGGGTTTAAAAGTTTCATCTGGCTAGCTTATTTAGAAGTGGTTGGGGACAATGATGTGACACATTCATACTTTGAACACATTCATACTTTCAATGGTGTACATGAGTCTGACTGACAAGCAGCTCTCCAGAGAGCTGTCCATGCACTGGTTATATGCTGCTGGCGGGGGGGGAGGGTCATCTGTCATTTTAGCAGCCCTTTGATCCATCATTTTCTCTTTCCCCATTCCAGAGTCCAGGTGTCCTTGCAGCCGTTGATGCCACCGTCAACAAGGCTACCGCAGAACGATATCAGATCTCAGGGTTCCCCACGCTGAAATATTTTAAAGATGGAGAAGAAAAGTATACCTTGCCACAGCTTAGAACAAAGAAGAAGATTATTGAGTGGTTGCAGAAGTAAGTTTGTGATATTGAGATTATATCCAGACTTCTGACACTTAGCCACTGGTGATTGCCTTGGCAGGGAAGAAATATGTCATAGAACCCAATTTCATCAGCTCAGGGCCCTCTTCATCTAAGATAGATTTTAATTCTAGAATCCAAAAGCCATATAGTTTGTTGATAATGCTTCCCAATCCATTGAGTTACTCTTATTCCCTTTGAATAAGATTTTCAAAATCTTAGTGAAATGCTTACGTGTATTTCCCAAAGGATCCTTTCATTTAATCTCCTTTAGTCCCAGGTTACATTTCTTTACTTCATTTTTTCTCTCTCTGAATAAAGGTAGGAAAATGAGGTGCTTGAAATAGAAGTGTGCTGATTGATTCACAGTTTCAGAACTGATCTGATTGACAGGACTCAGAGTTTAAAATGTGAATTCTGAGGATCCTAGGACAAAATGGAAGTATAGAAATAATCGGAGACCCTGATGATGTTGCCAGATTTCTTTTTCTCATCTAAGAATTTTAGGGTCTGTAGTTCTCTAAGACTTGTTTGCACAGTTTCCCAGGGAATAATTATGCCATATGTATAACTGTACTGGCAGGGAGATTGAAGGCAGGAATGGGCAGAGTACCTCTGGCATGCTGGAGGTCCCAAATCAGCAAAGACCCTAATCAGTCTCTCAACCACTTCTTCTCTTCCCAAACACATACTGCTCAAGCATAACCCATTTCCAGCACTAGGAGACATTAGTGGGTATAGAAGAAAGAGGAGATATGATTTCTCCCCATAGAGAGCTCTTAATGCAAGACTGCATTGTCCTTGCCATCAGTGACTCTGCTTTCTCATGGACCAGACTAGAAAGATATTGAGGAGAGAAGACTCAAAGGGTCCTCACAGAACAACACAGAAACCTGTGTAGATTGATGGAAGGCAAACTGAGTGTGTATATGCTCAGGATTCAGAGTTGAGTAGCCATAAATATCAGATGAGTTTAATTAGGAAAGGCTTTCTGCAAGAGCAAAGTGGACTGATAAGCTTCAAAGCATTGTGTAAACTGTAAGCCACTTCAAAGGACCATCAGTTTCAACCTCTGCCTCCTCATAGCCTTGGTGCCAGGATAAGCACAGTGGCGCATTCTAGTCCCCAGGTTTGTGAGAGCTGGGTAGTCTTTTTATTTCAGATCCCAGAACTTCTCTCTGGGCCTTGCAGGAAGCTGTGTCTGGGGCTAGCATGGTAGCTGTTTATCCAAGTTGTTTATCTAAGCCTTTTCCTTTGGCTCCACTGTATTGCCAGTTGGTGGTTCATTAAGAGGTAACAGAGCAGAGGATAAGGCTGAGATGATAAAGATAAATTAAAACCAGTGCATAATATTTGACTTTCTGTTTAGTCAGCACATAAGTAAAAGTAAGAGTTCATCATAGGCATAATAGTAAGTTCGTTGGTGGTATATGTGATCTGGACAGAGAGAGGGAAAGATCTCCTTCCTCTTCTCAGTTCATTCTACAGTCATTACTTTGTATTTGTATGACTGTGCATGAAAAGATCAATACACAATTAATGATACGCAACATTTGCCAAGTGCTTTGTTTCCCCCCAAAGTGATCTCAGATATATTGCCTAATTTTTATCCTCAGGGTGCCTATGAAGCAGAAAGTAAAAGGTATTTTTCTCTCTTTCATATATAGGGAAACTGAGACCCAAAGCTATTGAATGACCTGCCCAAGGTTACATAATTAATCCTTTCCAATTTGTACATGCATAGAGTATCTTTTATATTGTGCATGTGAGGAATGAATGCCACATAGTTGTGTTATTATAAATGAAAATGGTGACCTCGTGCACAGTAAAGAGAAGAAATTCGGGGCAGCTAGGTGGCACAGTGGATAGAGCACCGGCCCTGAAGTTAGGAGGACCTGAGTTCAAATCTGGCCTCAGACCAAACACTTGACACTTACTAGCTGTGTGACCCTGGGCAAGTCACTTAATCCCAATTGCCTAAAAACAGAAAACAAAAAAAAGAGAGAAGAAATGCTTTGAAAATATCTAGAAATACAACTTTAAGTAATTATGGATAGGTAGGGAATCCCCGGAGCAGACAGCAACCATGAGGGAGGAGGAAGGGGTGGCAGTCAGGATTAGGGGCAGAAGAGATTAAGAAAAAAGTGTGTTTTCTGTGAGCAGAGGCCTCAGACCTCAAAAGAACTTGGGGACAAACAATGGCAGACTCTTTGTTACTGGGAAGGATTCTTCTCAGACTCTTTACCTCTAATCACCCACTTGGTTTCTGACAAATCAGGTACTGTTTCATTTTTGTCTTTGTGTACTAGCAAAGTACCTGGTACACTGTGGAACTTAATAAGTGCTTATGGATTGAGTAATCATTTGTTCTAAGAGCATCCTCCCCTACTGGCTTGCGAGGAAGCAGTCTGAAGTTACTCATGGCACTGATGCATCCCTGATGCATCAAGTTCCTTCGAGCAGATACCTGGGTGATTGACAGGTAGTGTGCATTGGCAGAAGGCACACACTACTGTGCAAGGGAGGGAGTATCAGATTATCCCAGGAAACAGAATACATAAATATGCAAGTATGGAAGGAAACAGCTAGTAAAGAAATAGCAGGGGTCACACACCTGAAAAGAGTCCATAGCAACTGACAGATTCTCCTTCTTTATCAAGCCAGTAGCTTATTAAGAGGAATATCAGGCATAGCCTATTACAGGTGATTTGGCGTATCATTTTGTCTCTGCTCATGCAAAGCAGTCCATCATTAAGAAATAAGATGCACTCCTTGAGGAATTCTTAAAGGACCATATAAATAAGAGGGGTTCATAACCACAGCCCTGAGATTTTAATCCCTGCCCTCCACTTATGTGAATTAGTTGACTTCCTTAGAACTTCCTCATTCAAATATTTGTTTATAGAGTAATATTTCATCTCTGTTTCCCAAGATGGTAAAGTACCTATGACCAGACCCTGTTGGTATGTAGCAAGTGGGACCTGGGCAGCTGGTCTTAGTCAGATTAGGAGAAATGATAAACCTCAAGTATGATCATTCAAATTTCATTTAGAAGGAAAAAGCTTAGACTTGTATACCTAAGAGGTATGTACATGATTGTACATAATTGTTGGACATATTGCAATTGTGCATAATTGTATACAATTGCACAAATAGAAGATGAGAAATCATTATCTCTTTGTAAATGTACTTGAAAAAGACTTGGGATTGCAAATGAATCAAAGACTGAATGTGTGGTATTGTTATAAAAAAAGCAAATATAATGAATTTTACTTCAACTCCTTGAAAAGTCCTAGATTGAATTATTAAAGAGATGCTTAGTGAACATCAGGAAAAAGAAGCCGTGGTCCCCAAGAGTCAGCATGGTTTTAATCAAGAATAGTTCATGGCAGACTAACTTCATTTCCTTTTTTGACAAAGTTCCTAGACCAGTGTTGATCAGGAGAATAATAATAATTTTAATAATAATAATAATTCTTGTCACTTATTAAAGCACTTAGTCTACATTACTTTGTCTCAACCTGGTAAGATAACCTTGTAAGGATAAGTGCTATGGGTATTTTTCTATTTTACATTTGAGGAAATTGAGGCTTAGAGAGATTAAACCTTTCAAGTGGTTACACAGCTAGTAACAGAGGCAAGATTTTAATTCAGTTCTTCCCAACTCCAAGTTCACACTGTCTGTCCTGTACCCCATTGCCTGTAAATGTGGGTTTCAGTAGAGGATTTGACAAAATTGGACAGGATGGAGAGCTATGAACTAGATAGCACCTTTGCTAGGGGGATTCAGAACTGGTTGAATGATGAGACCCAAGGAGCGGTCACAAATGGTTCTAGGTCAGAACCTTCCTTTGAGCAAGGTGAGAGCACTGGGATTTCTGCTTAACTTTAGGCTCTTTAACATTTTTTATCAGTGACATGAATCAAGGTACAGATGATATGCTTATCAAATTTGCAGATGACACACTGGTGAGAGCTTAGAATCAGGATTCAAAAAAGTCTAGACAGGCTAGATTAGAACATTGGGTGCTCAGTCTCCCCATTACTGCAGTGGGTCTGTGGACATTCCCTCCAGCGATGCTGCAAACAACCCATCTATTTCTGCTCAGTACTTGTCCATGACCTCCCATAAATATGCCATGGAGATCTGCCATGTGTGCTGGGGGCCTTCATCACGTACTTCTGATATCGCATAGAAAGTGGTTGTCCCATCAGTAATCCCCAGACATTTGTTGCTTGGCTGCCGTTCTTGGCACGACATTTTCTGTGTGATTCCATCTCTGTGTATCGTGCTGTAGCCTGCTAATGTCCACTGTGCACCTCTCCGCTGTCTTCTGTGCGACCTTCAGAGACAGTTCTGAATGTCACAGTTTAAGGACATTCATAAGCTGGAGAGTGCCCAGAGCAGTGTGGCCAGGAAGGTGAAAGGCCTCTAAGGTTGTGCCTTGTGAAGATCATGAAAAGAACTGGAGGTGTTCAGCCTAGAGAACAGAAGATTCAGGGAGCACAGCACCACTGCAGTCAAATTTCCGAATATGCTATCATAACGAAGGAGGAATACACTTGATCTGCTTGGCTTCGGAGGGCAAAATGTGGAGGTTTTGGTTTGACGTAATCAGCAAGCATTTATTTAATGCCTACTCTGTGCCAGACACTGCTAGATAGACACTGGAGATGCAAATACAAAAATAAGACAGCCCTTGCCCTCAAAGAGCTTCCATTCTACTGGGGGGATACAGCATGTTCCTATATAAGTGATGGAGGTTGGAGATAAACAACTGGAGCAAGAACGAAAGACCTCTTGAAAGAGATGCCCCTTTGGGTGACCTAGGGCTTCTAGAAGGCAGAGGTGAGGAAAGAAAGCATTGCAGGTGTATGTATGTGTATGTGTGATATGCATGACATATATATGTATGCATGTATATTTATTTTATACGTCACCTAAATGTACTACTACACTAATATATTACTAATCTGAAGCATATACAGAAAGC